GGGGCATGTAAGTTTAGATTTCATTTTATACTTTTTCATCATGAATTATTGATTTACTTAATATTTACATTTGCTCTCTAAAAAAGTATATTTAGAATAATTATTGGCCGAGTCATTAAGCCATGCTGTTAGTTGACGCATAGACTAAGTTCGGCCTTCACTTTCTTCAGTAGAACATTGGTTAGGATCTCTTGCAATATGGGTGGTGCTACTTCATAGTGGTAGATTTTAGAATAACTTCGGCTGTCACGCTGTTGGGTAACATATAGTGGCATAGTGATTTGGATCTTTCTGCAGTATGGGTGGCACTACCTCATAACGAGTTGATTAGTAGTAGATTTTATTAATTGTGTCACTATCCTGTAATAGATCTAATCGATATGGCCAACTTGTCGATTCGGCTGATAGTTAATAGCATTGTAATACTAACTAAAGGGTTTGAGATAAATAAGTCAGAAATATTAGGGTTTAGGAATCTTGAATCTACGAATCTGCCGTAATGTTATCTTTTACAGATTGCAAATTCAATTAAATTGCATTTTTATCTCTCTTTGTAGGTAAATATTTGTTGAAAATTTCACATTAGCAGAAAAATAATCAAAGGTGCCCGAATTTTACGTAGTGGACTCCACCAAGAGCGTTAAAGTCATCTCTAAAATGATAGTTTTAACGGCAATACAAAACTGAAATCATTACAAGGATGGCGAAAACGTAGAAATGGATCATGTAATATCAAATTATTTTCCGTTTTGCTTACTATTTATATTTATATGCAACTAATAATTTTTAAATGTTATATTCGAAAGGAATTGTATTTTATTATGATTTTATTTGTAATAATTATTGTAAGAATTATTATGAAGAGATTTATTATTGTAATTATTTTATAAAGAGATTTATTATTTTTATTATTTTGATTTATTAAATTTCTTTTTAAAAAAAAATTGAATTTACATTATAAACTTGTATCTCAATATAATAACAATATATATTAATAAATTTGGTTTATAGTGCTTTTCAAATTCGACAAAATAGAATCGAATATTAATGCGAAAAATATTGTTCTCTTATGCTTCGTGGCTTTAAGTTAAAATTCTTTAAATTCGTTAACATCCCTAAATTCATCATTTTTAATAGTTCAGAGAGTATTAGTAAAGATTATATAAAAAGTCTCAAACTTACTGTTGAATTGTATCAAACATGTAAATTAATAAAAGGATATATGCGTTGCAAGTTAATTTAGCAACACTGTACATTCCATGAGCATTCTCTATCTCTGCTGATGCTTGATAATGCCTTCTTGTTCATTCTTTTCAACACTTATTCCTTGATGATAACAATATCCAGCTTCTTTTGTTCCATTAGTGTGCCCCATCTCTGCTGATTTTTGAAAATAAATTAATGCCTTACATTCATCCTTTTCAATTTTATCATTATACTAGTTTCCAAGTGCAATGTTCTATTAGTGTCTCTTCTCTGCTGATTTTAATAGTAAACGAATGTCTTATATTTATCCTCTTTAACTCAAATTCCCATCTATAATAGTTACCTATGAATAATAATACTTATGGTGTCATGCCCTATATCATTTCAGAGGTTTTATTAGTCAAAGTTACCAAAGCTTCAGATGCTTATTGTTTTGGAATCATTATACAGTCAGACATCTCTAAGTGCACCCTCTATAAGTGCATACTCAAGTGCCAGTCCAAATATATACTTGATCTCCATAAATGCATTTTTTCTTATTATTCACTATATGCACGTTATTAAAGTGTGGTCCCAAGGGCGTGCACTTAGAGAAGTCTGACTGTACCGAAATATTGGCCAGGAAAAACTTACTGATCTTGCAATAAAGATTTATGGATTGCGACTAGTTGAATCTGCAAGACAACGTACGGATCCCGATTCTGAAATGTTTTATAGAAAACTTAATGAATGTAATAATAGCATAAGTTTAATCAATGAAACTGAAAAAAAAAATTCTTTAGCTGATAAAATAGGCAAAGAACCTTACGAAACATCCAGCTTTTATGTACACAGTAAAATCTCTAAAACAGGGTTTCAAGGTTCGAAATTTAGTGTCTAAAGCCTCTCGTTTCATATACAGTCAGACCTCTCTAAGTGCACGCTCTTGGGACCACACTTTAATAAGAAAAAGTGCATTTATAGAGGTTTGGGTTGGCACTTGAGCGGGCATTTAGAGAGGGTGTACACTTATAGAGGGTGCACTAAGAGAGGTCTGACTATATTTTTGCTTACGTACGTACACATGCTTGCATTGTAAGAGGGGTTCGGGTTTCGTAATTACTGAATCGTAGAATTACTACAAGGATTCGATTAGTTTTTCCACGAATATGATTGGGTGTTATTCGTTCTAGAAATCTGATAGAATAATTTTTTTTTGTACTACACAAAAAAAATTTGGGTTAACCCAAAAAAACTTTACTATATATGTAAGTGCATTTTTTTCTAATAGAACTGCTTCTAGAAATTTCACAGCTATAAGCAGTAGATTCTAATTTACATTTCACGAAATTTTGGTAGGGGATAACCGTGACTTTAAAAGTTTTTATCAGGGGTGTATTTTTGTAATACATATGAGTTCCTTTTGTATCACGAAGATCATATGAAAAATGATCGACATACCCTCTACCCTTAAATTTAAAAAAAAAAACAATTTAAAAAAAATTTAAATTTAAAAAAAAAATTAAATTCAAAAAAAAAAAAAGTTATTGAATAACTTTAACTCGAATAATTGGAACAGGCACATCCTTTCCATCAATTTCAACGATTGCAGTATGATTATTTACCGCCAATCGCTTAAAAACTCTCTGTTGAGAAAATACAGTTTGTAATTTTCGTTTTTGGGTTTGTGGATTTGTATCGTAATCGGGTGCAACTACAACTATCGTTCCAGGTTCAATTGTATTGTTTTTTGTTTTTTTCGATGAACACTTCCGTATAGGCATAATTTTTCATGATATTTTTCTAGTTTATCGTTTACAGATTGCTGAACTTTTGATATCTGCTCTATATGTTGTTCAACATTATTTTTTAAATTTTCATCATTCACATTATCTAATAAAATAGGTTTATTTGATTGGTTTATATCAGGCATTTCATAAACGCCATGCATCTTCCATCCAAACATTATTTCATGAGGTATATGACTATGTGATTTGTGAATAGTTGAGTTGTAAGAAATTACAAAGGTGTCTATAATATTTTTTTTTTTTTTTTTTTTTGGCAATCATGCCACACTTTTATTCATAAAATAGTTACATTATCAAATGCTATTACTATTTTCAGTACTTTGTACCTTATAATTAAAGTATAGCTCACCCGGTTGCCTTAGGTATCTTTGCATGATCTGCCAAAACAGAATTTGACTCATTTCCATGTTGGGATTTCCCAATAAGGAGACTCACTGTCTTGGTTCTGCAGCCTATCATGATTGCTTTTAGATTAAGTTCCACTAACTACTAACCCCTACTTCTATCTATCTTTTAATTTTCTTAATTGTAAACTCCAGGTATTCTTCTTCTTTAAAGTTCAGAAACCCTTTTCTTTTTATATTTTCTGTACCATGAGGGGCCTCCGGTGACTTGGTTAATATTTCCTTTAGCTTCTTCTTCTTCTTTTTTTTCTCCCTCTCCTTCCTTTTTTCTTTTCTCTTTTTTGTTTCAGGTTTATGTTGTTCAGTTTTTCCTATTCTATAGTTGTTTTACATCTGGGTCTTCATATATGGTCTTGGAAGACTATCATCCATTTTTCTAGCCAGGTTAGTAGGATGTTGTTTATTGTTTTTTCCTTTAGGCCTGATAAGAAAAGGTTGTTTCTACACCTTATATTTATAATTCCCTGGGCTAAGGAGTTTCTTCTTTGTGAGTTTGAGATTTTCGGGTCTAGAATAGTTTTCCTTAGTGTTTGTGGGCTTATTAGCTTTTGGCTTTCCTTACTGAGATTTGACCAAATTTCTTGTAGTATATCTAATTCTCTCATATTCTATATATTTTTATCAGCAGGACAGTTTGTTAGGTGTTCGAAAGTTTCCTCTTTTGATTTGCATTTCTGGCAGGTTGTGGTATTGTATAAAGTCCCTTGATCTTGTTTTCTTTTAACGAGTGTTAGAAGTAAGGTGCCTACAGCTTTGATTCTGAAGGCCCACTGTTTGTTTGATTTGAGGCTGCTTCCTCTAGAACTTCGTGTTTTTTGCCAGAAGGATTTGAAGGTCTT